GTTGGGCACAGAAGCTGACACTTTGTAAAGCAGTCTATGAATTGCTGACCTCACTGAGATCAGTAGGATGCTGTGAATCTGCCTGAAATTCTGAGCCCTGCCCTCTGGACACCCACAGGCTGCTCTGCATGAGGTGCCTTAGGTGTGAGGGGGATTAATCCCTTCATACCTCAGGAGCTGGGGCTGCCAGTGTGTGGGCTGAAGGTGATCAGAGCAGGTGCTGGATGCACATGGAATATCCCCAACCAAAAGCCAGGCCAGGAACACCCTGTTTTCCCTGGCATCCCCTGGGTGAAGGCAGGCAGCAGCACGACAGGGCCAGCTCTTCAGGATGGGCACAGCAGCAGCGCTTCCTTCCTTTAATCCCCTTTTTTTCTGTTGCCCTGCAAGAGCAGGTAGAGCTGCTGGCTCCACCCCAAGGGCAGGGTGCCCAGTGACAGCTTTTCACTGGGGATACCTGCAGGGATGGGGTTCTGATGCCAGGCTGGTGTCAAAAGTGGCTTTGGTCCCTTTTTTTCAGTCCCCTGGCTAAAAAGTGCTGCAGTCGGTGTTTTTAGTGCTGCAGTTGCACCGACGGTGTCCCCCAGAGGTCCTGTGTGATGGGGCTGCTTTATTGACACAGAATAGCAAAAATAAAGTGCTCTGCAATACTGTGTGTGAGCCAGGCCAGTCTCTGGTGCAGTGAGGAGCCACCGTGTGCTGGGTAAAATCTGGTGGCAGCAGGACCTGCTTCCTCCAGCTCCCAAGCACATATTGTGTCTCACTCACTCAGCCAAGCAGTTTCATAAAATCAGGAATATCCTGACTTGGAAAGGACCCACAAGGATCATCAGTGCTGGGTGGAGAAACGATTTTTGCTCATTTTGGAGCTGTCACAGGCTGGTGTTGGTTGGGTGTCACTGTTCTTGTGCTGGGAGGGACATGAACCAGCCCTTTCCTCCTCCCCGAATCACTGACGGCTTCAGACCTCAGCCACCTTTTTCTTGGGCTGGAGCATCTCAGATGCTCCATTTTCTTTGAAAACAAGCTTTTCAAAATGCCTTAAATAGCTCCTCCAGGTCCCCTCCAGGTCCCATGACTGTCCCCTGCACTGCTGAGACCACACCTCAAGTCCTGGGGTCAGTTCTGGGCCCTCACAAGAAGGACATTGAGGGGCTGGAGCGTGTCTAGAGAAGGGCAATGGAGCTGAGGAGGGGTCTGGAACACCAGGAGCAGCTGAAGGAGTGTGGGGGGGTTTCCAGCCTGAAGAAAAGGAGGCTCAGGGGTGACCTTCTCCCTCTCTACAACTCCCTGACAGGAGGGTGTCCTGGGAACATGGGGACAAAGACTTCAGGGCTTGCCCAAAACTGCCAGCACTGATTTCTGCCCCAAAAGCTCCTGCTGTTTCTCTTTGAGGAGGTTTAACCATTCCATGACTGCCCTGTCATTGTTTATTTAAAAAAATAAAAATAAAAAAGCCCAACCCCCCCAATCTTGGCTTTGTTTAAAGAATAAAAGTTTTCACACTTTCTCAGACCAACTCAGTTTTAAACACATTTAACTGAGAACAAGAGCAAGTCGCTTCACAAGTTACTTCTGTTAAGTTTAAAAATTATGACAGTCCTGGATTGGATTCATCCCATGAAGGACTTCAGAAATAGGAAATCATTTTGGAGCAGGGGCTCCCAAGTGCCACATCCACATGTCTTTTAAATCCCTCCAGGCTGGGGACTCCACCACTGCTCTGGGCAGTGTGTGCCAGTATTGAAAGAAACCCAGTCATTTCATAGTAAGACTCATCTATTTGAGTCACCTAGAATTTCAAAACTAATATGGGAATGGTTCCATGCACTTCCTTCCTGGTTGTGATGTCCCAGGTTCCACTGACACAAACTCCGCAGGACTGGGACAAGATTAAAAAGAGCATTTCCAGGGCACTTCCCCCTGGGTTGAAACCCCACAGAAGGAGCTCCTTGACAAGTGTTCCTGTGGATACTGATCCATCTGGTCTCCTGATGGAGGGGACACTGGTTGCCCTGGCATCTGGATACAGCCAAGCCTGGGAGTGGCAGCAGGAGAGGGACAAGCTGTGGTTGATGTGGAGTCTCCTCGTGACACACACGGCAACTTGGGTATGGAAGCTCAGAAGTTCCTTTCAGAAATGCTTTGAACTGAATTCCCTTTGGGACCCAGAGGCTTTTAGCTGTCAGCCTGGCTAACCTATCTCAGGATCTTTAAGGCTCTGCTCCAGAACTTCCATGGTTCAGCCTGGAAAAGAGAAGGTTCTGGGGAGACCTTGGAGCCCTTCCAGTGCCCCAAGAAGCTCCAGGAGAGCTGGAGAGGGACTTTGGACAAGGGCCTGGAATAACAGGACAAGGGGGAATGGCTTCCCACTGCCAGAGGGCAGGGTTAGATGGGATGTGGGGAAGGAATTCTTGGCTGTGAGGGTGGGGAGGTCCTGGCACAGGTTGCCCAGAGAGGCTGTGTCTGCCCCATCCCTGGAAGTGTCCAAGTCCAGGTTGAACAGCTCTTGGAGCAACCTGGGCTAGTGGAAGGTGTCCCTGCCCATGGCAGGGGGTGGAATGAGCTGAGCTTTATTGTGCCTTCTAACCCAAACCACTCTATGATTCCATGACTGGGGTGGTACTGCTGGGCAGAGCACCTTTGGGACGGGAGCTGCTCCTGGACCATTTTTCAGGGAGGTTTTTTTTCTTTGAACCTCGCTCAACATTATGTGTGTGCCCAACACCGGGGTTTTTTTCTTTCCCTGTTGTGTTTCCCTCCTTTAGACTGACCTTTCTCCAACTTCTAAGAAAGGTCTCAAAGGTTACCAAAGCCTAAAAAACCAGATTTAGCCAGCTCAGCTGGGAAGTTTGTGTTCCTTTAAATTCTTGTGCCTTTCCTAATCACTTAGAGGTTTTTTCCCCTAATACATCACTGCAACCTGACTCTGTGGAGCAGAGCTGTTCAGAGGGAGATGAAGGAAAGGCTCATGGAGACAGGAGTCATCTGAGGACAAGGCAGGACTCAGAGAACTCCCCCAGTGATGCTCTGCTGTTTGGGAGCAGGAGGTGTTGGCACGGGATGGTGTTGGCAGGCACAGGGAGCAGAGCCCTCAGTGCTTCCCTTTGGAATAGGAGCCAAGAGCACAGTGGTGTCCCTGGGATGAGAGACCATTGTACCCACAGGGGCTGCAGGACCTGTTCCCTCCCTGGGAGACAGAAGGCAGGAATCTGCAGGAGGAATGTCTCCTAAAATGCCATGGGGGGGGGGTGAGGGGCAGCATGAACAGCAAAGTGAGACAACATTTACCTGACAAACAAGGACCGTGGGCAGCAGGGGAGGGGAGATTCTGCCTCTCTGCACCCTCAGGGGAAACCCCCCTGCAGAGCTGCCCCAGCCCTGGGGAACAACAGCAGGAGGACGTGGAGCTGCTGGAGAGAGTCCAGAGGAGGCCCCAGA